ATGTTGCCACACAAAGTGACGGAATATAGGGATTTGGTAGGTTTCCATTCTAAAGGCTTTTTAATAAATATGGCAACATTTTGTGACGTTTCATCGTTGCTGACGCGTAGTGAAGTGTTTTGAGAGTCATGTGAAGGCAACAGAACTTACGTAACGCATACAGTTTTTTTTATAGTTTTTCATTTCTCGATGCATCCTTAATGTGTCGGAATATACCGCGTTTACCCTACAATCTAAATGTGCCGGCAAGATCTTCTGTAGGCGTAAATTTTGCTACTGAAGCGTAGCAAAAGATCTTGCTATATTCATCCACTCTCTAGTCTCTGCACAGTGGCCCATATGTACCAATACGTAGACGTAGTCAACGTGTTAAGGAGCACTGAGCAGTAGGGGGGCGGCAGTCTGCAAAGACAAAGTCAGAACAGAAGTTTGTACGTTTGATTGATGATTTGTACACAATATAGCCTATGCAGATGCAGAGCATGACTTTGACTCAAATAAATTTTCATGAGCTAAAAATCACTGTTAGGTAGTTAGGAATTTACATTAAAAATTTTGTTTGAATCTGTTTTGTAGTTTGGAAGAAATTTTTTGATCACTGCAAATTTCAGCCTGTATTGCCATACAGGCTAACTCCCAAATGAAGGTGAAATTTAAAAATTTTCACAAGCTAAACATCACTGTTTGTGTTTGACTATTAGGTCCTACTGTCCTAATGAATACGTGGTCCAAATTTCATTGAGCTGCATTGAGTGCATTCATTACTGGCCAGACTGTAGAGCATGGCACAACATAGGTCGAGGACGCCGATTTCATGCACCAAAGACGCCGAGGTGGATGCCACTGGACACCACTGGACGCCGGTCGCCAATTATGCTTCTCCATAAATCGCAATTTATGATCGATATGACTGATGCGCCGTATTGATCTACACGCTACGATCATAACTATGTGTTGTAGGGCATAGTTCCGATGGCTGTGAGAGCTACATTTGAGCACCCCAGCATACGAGCTCATAGCCACCTGAACTACGCGATGTAGCGTGCAGTTCCGGCGCCTGTGAGAGCTACATTTGAGCACCCAAGCATAGGAACTCATAGCCACCTGAACTACGCGATGTAGCGCGCAGTTCCGGCGCCTGTGAGAGCTACATTTGAGCACCCAA